ACTCATTCTCAAATATCATCAAATAGTATATTAGATTTGTGACATTTCTTCAGTTCCATTGTTGTTTCTCTCTTTTTGTTTAGACAATGATTCAAAACTGGAAAAATTGCAAAAATATCTTGACCAACTAAAAGATGCATTACAAATATTTATTCGTACAAATGATCCTTCTCAATTATTTCGTCGAACACGAATTTTACTATCAAAATGCGATGAAAATGAATCTCCATTAAATGATGCTATTGAAAATGGTCATGCTGAATTAGCATTATCAGTAATTAAACAAACTATTAGTGCAAATCCATCGATTGGATTACTTGAAAAAGTAAATAAAAATGGTGAAAGTGTATTACTAATTGCAAGTAAATGTAATGAATGGAGATTGATTGAGATTATTTTAAGAAAACGATGTGATCTTGCTGAGCAAAAAGATGAGAATGGTAATAATATGTTACATATACTTGGAAAGTTAGCTGAAGATAAAGGTGCAGAAACAATTAAACAAGTTTTGCCAATCCTAAAGGATCAAATGAAAATGGATTTACGAAAAGAGAAAAATAAAAAAGATCAAACACCAGCTAAAGTAGCACAGTCTCATGGAAATACATCTTGCTTTGAACTTCTGACTAATGTTGCAGACAATGTGTAATATAATTGCATAAAACTGTTTTTTTCTTGTCAACTTATTCTTTTTATGATACCTATAGTTGATCTACATAAGTTTATATTTTATTTCATTTTCTTAATAAATTTATCACATAGTGTAGAAGTGTCATTCAAAAATAGTATATCGTCTAAAGCAGAATTAGCAAAACAATAGATGTGTTTAAATTATTTTCAATGTCTAGTATGAAGAACGATTTTTTTGATCTATATAGATATCGATTAATTTCATAAGTTTTTTTTCAATTTAGGTTTATTTCATTGGTAAAATAAACAGGGGTGCCATCTGGCGACTGAGAAGTAATATTTGTATAAATATTGTAGAAAACGGGCGTATGTAGTCATCATTAATATTGATTGCACACAGTAATAATAAGAACTGTGAATGACAATTATAATAAAATGATTATAGTCCAGGTTATTTATAGTAAGACTGAGCAAGATAAAAATTTTATGATATTTTTACAAGAGTACTTCGGTTACGTTTACAATGCTTCTGGCAAATACATTCTATATAAGTGTCCATCTACCAATATCTGTTATTCATTTCTAATTTGTATTATTCTGTATCATGATAAGTATTCTTCGGAAATACATATCCTAGCTACAATGGTTGTTTTTTTGTTTTTTTTTTATCGTTCTATCAATAAAAAACGTGGCAGCAAATTAGTCATAGGTAAATACAGAGAAAAAAATAAAAGAACGAAACAACTGTAGGTTGGAAAAAGCCAAGTATATTGCATCATAATAATTTGCCGTATATAAAGCTTTTATTTTTACCAAAATATTTCTTTTTTTTGTTATTATAATACAAACGACTAATACGTTGGTAATATTAACATTCTTTTCTTCTATATAATATAAAGTAATACTTTAAATTATTCGTAGCAATAGCTAGTTCACAATGAATTTGAACGATATGGATGATAATCCACCATCTCCATGGACACTATTTAATGGTTTTGGTAAATTTCATAAAAGCTATTTTTTTGTTTTCCGAATAGCGTATTTGTTTTATTTTAGTCACACCAATCATTTATTCAGAGACAGATCTTTCAACATTACATAACTTGAGTAAATAAATAAAATAAATTATTTCTAATTAATAGAATTTTTTCCCGTTTTAGACGATCAAAATAATGAATCAAATATGTTTGTTGATAATCCATGTCCCGATGTATCTGATAGAACTAAAGGTTATTTAAAATAAAAATGAATTGCATATAATATGTCTATATTATTTTTATAGGTGCTAATCAGAGTCTGTTATCTGATATAGATCAATCGAAAAGAATTGATTATTTAGCAGCATTACCAAAGTCTCACTCAACCAAAGATGATGATCAAAAAACAGAGGAAAATTCGAACGAACCCTGTGTAAGTGATTTTAAATAACAACTAAAAGGTTCGCTTGTAATATTTTAAAATTAAAATAGAATGAAAATAATACAATGAAATATACAGATGGTACTCAATTCATTCAAAATAATACATCACATATCAATCGTCATGTTCAAGACATATCTGATGGCATAGACGGTTCGTTATAAGAAAAGTTCATATTTTATAATTTATTGTATTGATAGGCTTTGATGAAGCTCTAGAAGAATTATTTGACGGGATTTCAATTAATCCTACTGATGATTCATTATTAGTATTATCACAAAATAATAACAATGATGATAATGTTAATCCATCAATAAATAATTCGAAAAATTCTTTTATTGTTAAATCATGTGTAAGTAATTTCAAATAATTGCCGAAGTATTTTCTTGTAATATTTTTAATTCACATAGGATGGGAATAATACAGTTAACTTCATCGATAGTTCAGTGATGATTGAAACACGTGGATCATTTATATTAACAGTATCACCATCTTTAAAGCAGCATGTTCGATACGAAACAGAATTGGAACAAATACTTCGATACATAAATGTACCAAATCAGGAATCAATTACTATAAAAGTAAATCATTTTTTATTTCTTAATAATTTCTACTTCGAATATACAACATAGATGTCTGATGTTCGAAATCAATTCAGACCTGAAATATCATATTGGTTGCGTATAACACGTACAACAATTCCATATGGTAACAATAAAATTATGTTTCTTCATCCATATCCAATATGGTTAAATAATAAATATGCTAAAGTTTATAATGGTTCATTATTAATTCCAGTAACAGAATTAACTATTAGGTACATATTCTTTTAAACAATAGTTAATAGAATATTTAAAAGGTTCTTTTTTCTATAGAATTGAGAATTTAGTTATGGTCCGATTACAACAGGGATTATTAAAAGAAATTCAAAAATTTGCGATTTATGACTCACAAAAATTTGATTTTAATGGTAAGTTATAGAAATAACTTTTTCTACTTATTCCATTTATATTTAGTTCAAGATATTTATTTACCCAATACAAAAAAAGCGAAGTTTTTAATAGATGAATATAAACTTCGATATTCAATTTTTCATTTTCAAATTTTTGTTGTTGATGAATATAATCAAGCATATCCAACTGATTTAAAATGTCAAACTGATTCAATATATGAATATGATCGTAAGTTTGTAATTAATTATTTCAAATATATATATATACTTGTTTTTATTTATATTAGCTAAAGAAATTGAAACATTGTCGCCGATGATCGGTAATATTAAGAAAAAAACAGTTAAACGTAAATCAATTGGACAAAGAAAGAAATCTAAAGTCGTAAGTTTTTTTTCAGACATGATTGATAAATATAATTCGTCTTCATCTTTTCTTAATTAAGGCATCTAAAACAGATATGACTGACAACGATGGTCGAGCCTGAATGGCCTTATCCGCTCATTAAAGTTTATAAACTTTAATGAAATATTAAGAATGTACTTTTTAAATATTTAATATTGCTTTTAATATATTTTATTCAAATTAAATCAGAAAATTATTTTATCAATAAATGTAAACGAGATGAAGATCAGCTTTTATTGACTATTATAATCATAGACGATGGAGTAAAGAGAATATATAAATTTCTCACGATTAGAGAACTCTTCTATACTAGATTATCAAACACTTATGTAGTTCTAATAAATACTATCACGATTTTAAATCTATAGGAACGAAAAGTTGCTCAATAAAATTTTTATTGTACTATGCAGTAAATAGATTGTAATTTGTATATAAAATCGAAGAAATGAAAAATGACTAAATTTCGTATATCTATCTTTTATTCAACAAAACTATCGATAATAGTACTGAAATAGATTAATAGAATATCATTGAATCTTGTAATTCTATTGAAAATTCATCTATTTTTTGTATAATGCTACATTGATTTTTTTTATGGATTATATGTTTAATATTTAAAACTAAATAAATAATAAACTTAAATATTTAATTGGAAAGCTAAGAGTAGAGGTTCATTTTTTAAAATTATACCGCCATCGGACCTCAGTTATGAGATAACATACAGTATGAAAGTAATTAAAAAAATATGTCTACATTGTCTGTCATTATATATTTATTTCCATATCAATTGTACATATTTTATATATATAAGGTTATTATCTAAATATTTTTAAAATGAAATAAAAGACATTATGACAAATTACGTTAGATTTGAAGAAAATTGTATATAAACTTGTGATTATATTCGATTCTAACATCTTTAGTTAAGTTGTATGCTATGTGATACTAGAATAAATAATTCAGACAGTTCATATGAATAATTTAAAAATAAAGTCTTAAGTGTACTTATCAATTGATATTTTGTAAGTGGTCTACGTATTTCAGACGAGAAACGAGACATGAAAAATAAAAATAATTAATCCGTGATTTTTACCTTGAAATTTTGAATTTCGATTTTCCAAGAAAAAGTCTGGTATGCAAAATGTTTTAATATTCATCTTTTTGATTGTTGTTTTAATAATAAAAAGTGCAAGTGTAAAAGAGAAAGAAGACAAACATTTTTTTTTATCGTAAAATTTATATGGTTACTTATAAAAATACAATCATTTTATTAATACAATTTCAAATTAAAAGGGAGAGAAGAGAGAGTTTTACTGGAAGAAAAAGAAAAACATTGACGAATGTTTAATCAGTATATATTATAAATAGATGCGACAAACTATGCCCCTCGTGTTACAGTTTCATAGCCAATTCTTCATTCAAAAATCAGTAAGTAATGCGCACAGGTATCTATATACTACGAGTAGTCTATGGAAAAAAGAATTATTCTGTAATTTAATATATTATATAGCATGATTGTTTTTATTAAGAATTAAGAGAAAATACCAATACGATTGGAAATAAATTTATTCTAAAATGCATTATTCATCATTAATATGATGCATTTTCTAAAGTGAAGATAAGATATCTCCTGTATAGACTACTCTGATATGATAAATGTATTTTTACAAAAGCGTTAGATGCTAAAAGTACACCTACAAATATAACCATTTTTATACTTTTCTCGACGTACTTACAAACTATCATGTGAAACAATAAACGAAGCCTTGTTATCATTATCAGTTAAGAACAGAACAGAAAAAAAGGCAAAAACATCGTGGTTTTTTCCTTTCGTTACACTGAGTCAATAGTATTAGTAATTGTAAAACTCCCTTGGTTAGCAGAGAAAAGTCCCAAACTCTTTCCTTACTTCAACTATAGTATTTATAGAATGATTCAAACCATTAATGATGCTATTCAAATTCAATACTCAAACATGGCAAATGCAATGCCACCACTACGTATAATTGCGCAACCAAAAAAATCATATCGAGAACGATATGGATGTGAAATAAATCGTCAACAAAGTCGAGCTCAACGTTTTATTCGTGCTGCAGATAATGACTATAAATTTGAATATCCGACCATTGAGGTAAAATAAAGATAACAACTTCTTTTTTTTCTTTTCATTAATTTTATTTCTTATATAGATACCACAAGAATGGAAAGATACACTTCGACAAGATTTTTATATTCGATTAACGTTGAGTACTATTCCGACTGAATCAGAACCTATTCGATATATACATCCTTATCCTATTAATACAGAAGATACTACTGTTATAAGAGATATATCAACAAATTCATTATATTTTCGTGTTTCAGAAAATGAATTTCGACTTGGACGAAAAACGTAAGAGAATATTTAAAATAAACTTTCTTTATTAAAATTAATTATTCTTTAGTTTTCAATTTACTTTAGAAAAATTAACACAGTATATGTTACGAGATCTTTCATCGTTAAAACCTTTAATTTTTGGTAAGAAATTAAATATGAACAATTATTCGAAATTTATTGTCTTTTTTTATATTTCGAAGAAGGAGAAAATAATCAATGTACAAGACATGCTACAGATTTAAGAAGTGCAGTTAAAAGATATCGATTAGAACAATCACAATTATTATTTTCCATAGCTACCTTCAAAAGTTCTACTGAACCACCAATAATATACAGGGTTTCGAATGTATTTTCAAATGAAATGATTGGTAGAATAGGAGTAACAACTGATGATAGTGTTGGTTTTAGATGTTCACCTTTACGAGGAGATTGGCAAGGTCATGATGAAATATTGATGGTTATTCCAAAAATTGACAAAAGAAAACGTAATTATACCATAAATTTTTACTCATTGTTCCTTTGAAGATAGATCATAGTGAGAATTAATCTCATATAACTAATTTTCATGATCTATACAACATAGAACATATTCAATACTGTATATGAATATTTGTGATAGTTGATTAAGGATAGAATAATACTTGCATTATTATAAAGATCTCTAGGTCTGAGTCTCGGTTTTGAATAGAATATATATTAATTCGTACAACTTGATGAATTGATTCTTATGTTAGGTTTCGTTTTTTCCCATATAACTTCGTTTGAAAAAAAACTGATCAATTTTAGTAATGAATTTCTTTACTTTAAATAAGTTTCATGTAGTCAAATGGTATATAGCTATTAGTATGTCACAAAAACTTTTAAATATTGAAGTGTGTTAAGATACTTTTCTCACAAGTAGTTGTATGAAGAAAAACGAACCATACTACGAAAATAAGCTCGCCGAACTCTACAATCTAGTACACCTTTTATTCAAAACTGAGACTCCTATTTACGGATCTTTCTTCGAAAATGACATATACCTTTTAAAAATAAAACTGTGTAAGAAATTTCATAATGAATTTTCTTATGTTAGGGAACAATATTAAACATACGTAAACATTTTTGACAGTACTTCCTAAAATTATGTGTATACTAAAAAAAGATATGTTATTTTTTCGATCGGATGATCTAGAATTATTGTGATTGAGGATGGGTGTGGGTGAAGAAGAAGAATCAATTCACACCCTCATTTACTATTACCTATTTATTTTAAAAAATTGATTTTTATTACTTTCAGCACTCACTGTTTATTTCTACTATCCGTGCATCGGACAAAGCGTTCCAGTTGGTTGTGAATTCGTCGATGCAAAAACAATATCACTTTTTACACCAAAATGTCTTGTCACAGTAACACGTGATAACCCAACAATTCTAGTTACAATTGTTGTATGTCAAAATGAGACAGAAATTGCAAAAATCGAGTTTACCTATCAAGCATGTTAGTATCTTTTGATATTTTTTATTAATCAATTTCTTATATTTTTCTTTATAGTAAATGAATGTGTAAACTGCAGTTTAAATGTAATGCCTGGAAGTATGGTATCACCAGCTAGTAATAAACGTTCGATTGCAGATTCTGAAGAAGATAATGAATTTGAATTTCCCAATGTCACAGTTAATCGAACAGAAAATAACGAAGATACTAAACAATCAACTATAAAAAAATGCTAATTCTTCAGCATATGTATTAATATTTAATAAACGGGTTGGCAATCAGTGAAAAATAAACACCAAATCTAGTTGAATGCTAGAATAATGGATGTATAACTGAGAATGTATCATTTAAGTTCAGTTTTAAATTTTTTTATGTTATGTTTGTTTTTGATTTTCTATGAAATAAATATTTCAATAAATATACATGTTTATTTTCGAAGTATTATTTTTATCATTTGCATAATGAATAAATTTTGTTTTGATAATACAGCAAAGTGTGAAGTTCGATAAAATCTTTATTTAGATTATTATTCTTAGAATTTTACTTTTTCACAGTACATTCGAAGTACAAGTGAAAATGAATCATGTATTTGACATTATGCATTGAATATGTTTATTTTGAACCATAGTTTAGTAATTATAAATAAAAGTTCGATTTTATTATCAATAAAATTCGTCTGATGTATTTGACAAGTATAGAAATAAACAAAGTACAATTAATATCAAATCTTCGGATTACCTAAGATGAAAAATTTGAAAGAAAAAGATTAATTACTGTGAAATACAGCTGAATAAAAGTGACCATGTTTATTAAATGAAAGAATTATTAAATTTACAACATTATTTTCGCTAAAAAGAGATTCAATTATATTTGTTATAGCTGTCAACACCTGCATCTACACCCTTTTTATTAGTGAATAATTATTATCTCAAAATATATATTTAAACAAGAAAGATTTTAACTATTGTGTTTAGTATATCATATAAATGTCAACTTTTAACAAAATATAATATAAATAATGTCTGATCATATACAAGTTATTGTTAAAAACCATGTTACAGATGGTGCTGATTCATTTAAGAGTTTTTGTGTCTATAGAAATTGATATTTTTTTCCATATTTGTATCAGATTCAGTTAATTAGAAGTATTATTTAATATCAAGATTAAAAAAATTACATGTATTGAAAATCATATTAGTTGAGTTGTGAGTTTTTTTGTCCTTGACATGTGAGACACCTATATACTTCATCTGTTGTAAAAGGACGATAAGGTTTATATCCGCCAATCAGCTGTTTTTTGATGTTCTTGTCAAAAAAAATCAACTCATAATAGACACCTAAATCATAAAAAATATTATAGTGATCATCCACTTAAAAGTTTCGTTTAGAAAATTTAAATAAACATGGCTCTTCAACCTCAGGAAGGTATATATATATAATATTTGGTTATATTTCATTTTTTTATAAATGCTATGTTTAGATCGGACGAGTTTGCATAATCCAAACGTTTTTGAAACATCCCAATATTCACAAAATACCACTGAACATTTTTGGTTTAGTTCAGGTAAGGATTCCCATATTCTACTAAATTTAGTTATTTTTAAATTTTTAAGGAACATATAATGCTGATCCACCAATACCAATATCAACCTCATTAAACAATGATCAAGCAACTGGTATAGAAGGTAGTTCAATATTATATTGTGAAAAAATCTAATTTCTATTAATTATAGAGTCTAATGGTGTCGATGAAAATTTTCCGTTTACATCAGGTTTGTTATAAGTCATAATTCTCTATGTTTTTAATAACAAAAACAATTTCAGATATCGAAGCAAGAGTTGAAGAAATAATAAATAATGAAAAGTTCGATACTGACGATATGGTAAGTAGTTGATTTTATATTGATTATATGAACCTTGCGGAAAATTTTTCTTTGAAGCCATTTAGTCCATCAATGCCTTGGATACTAGAAGAGTTAGACAAGTTTGACTTAGAAAAAATCGATCGATCCATTCAAGATCGAATAATGACTGTGGAATCTCAACCACCAACAGATATTCGTCGTCGATATGAAAGTGACGGTAAACGTCAAATTGAAAAATCTCGGTCGAAACCGATGACAATTAAAGTATGTCCATATTTACTCCATACAATCAATTTTAATTTTTTATTTCACAGTTGCCAAACTTAAATACATGTCAATTAAATGCTCGACAATCATTATGGTTACAGTTAACACTCATAACTGACAATGAAAACCCTACAGGTAAAGCGTATACTCACGTAGATAAACTAGAGTATCATGCAGATGATTTACCTGAATGTGGTCACGGACCCATTCGTGTACCGTTAACTCCAACGGATATTCAGCAAGGAACAAAACAGTAAGAAATCTATTTTATCTAATATACTGATCTTGATATTTTTGTGTCAAATTCAGATTAGCTCGAATATCGATCATTAAAAAAAAATTAGATGCGTACTCATTCGAGTTAAAACCATTTAATCCAACATCGACAGATAATCAAACTGAAATTTGTATATTCATTTTATCTATTTTTATTGATAATAACTGAACTTCTTTTTTTATATAATAGATGAAAATACAAATGCAAAATCAATCGTTGCAAAAGCTAAATGTTTTCGTGAAATGTATCATTTAAAATTTAGTCGTATTGCATGTCAATTACTGATAAACCAAGATTTAACATGGCATACAACTAATATTTTCTGTCAAACAGATATAATGGAAGAAAGTAAATGATCTATGAGAGCATTTTTTTATTCATATAGATGATTTCGATTTTGTTTATATTAGAAGAAAAACAAATCAATTCAAAAAAAGCATCAAAACGATCGGAACCTTCGAGTGATAGCGATGATGAAGATGAATATCCACCTCATCCTCGAAATTCTACAAAGAAACGAAAGCAATCATCAACCTCAATGAATAAATTACCCGTAAAATTTTCTTATTTTTCGTATTAATTTAATTGTTTTATAATTATTTTTTTCAGGTAACTCGAGTGAAAAAGTTATAAACTTACAAGTGATTTACAAAATTGTACAATACAAAAAGCCTGTATTTATTGTATACTTTGACTTCATCATTTCTAAATAAATCCTGATTCTGACGAATATTGCTTTATTTGTGTATCTTTTTTTGTCAAACATACAGTCAAGATTTTACAGATAAAATTATAGAATTGTCATTTCTTATCATATTTTAATAAAGATAAAATTTTAATAATGACGAAAACTTGTGCTAATTATAGAAGATACATTATTGATCTTTCTTTCTTCTTGATAAAAATATAAATTTTTACAAGTAACAAAATGTTTTTGATCAAAAGCCATTTATTAATTAAAATTTTTTGTTAAAAAATGAGACATCTATGCTTCATGTCCTCTATAAAAAATATTTTTAAGTGACTTGCATTGCTCGTTTTTCTTTCCTATTTTACATAGGTAAAAAGAGCATAGGTGAGTTTGAGTATTTTAGACAGACATCTTATTAAAATCGATACAAAATGCAAAGCATTCTTATTTAATTTTAATAAGAAAATATTTTACACTATTTAAGATTCATATATATCATTATATAATTAAATTTTCAATATAAACGTGCTGCCAAGTAATTACAAGTTTACTTCTGCAATTGCATCTTTAAAACCCAGTTCATTCTTGTTACAATTCAACTTGACAAAATATGGAATCATCTGAAAATATCGATTCGTTTCTTTCGGCTCCCGATAATTATGAAGGTTCTATTCAGAATTTGCATTTTGCTAACGGTAAACATCTTTATGGCACACTATTTGAAACTAAATGTAGTTGTATTATTTATTTTAGGCGATAGGATGTTAAACACGCCTATACTTCCAATAGATGATCCATTTGATGAATTATCATCATACTCAGATGGTATTCAAGAAACTAGTGGTGAGTTTTAGGATTGAATCAGATAAATTTATCTTTCTTTTATGTATTTACTATAGATTTTCCACAACAGCCTTCAACGTCTTTTGATCAAGGTATATTTTCTAATAATATCTATACTTTGCATTTATCTAAGAAATTGTAAGTAATAAGCTGAAGAAATGGTTAATTATTCAAATTGCTTGCTTTGAAAAAATTTCTAAAATGTTCTTTCCATTAAAAAATGCGGTTCCTTAGAAACGAATATGATGCATTAAGTTTTATATCAATATTCTCTTTAATTGAAATTTACTATTCGATTTAGAACTGCTTACTACTATTGCAAGTAACAATGAACAAGTGGAACATTCAACATCAGGTTTGCATAGTGTTTTAATTTAAAATAACTAAATTTATATTCATAGGTGCTCAAGCTTATGACAGCAATCTTGAACAGCACATGGATACAAATGAACCGGAAGCTACAGCAGTAATGGTAAATGATGTAATCTAAATTTACAACTATTGTTTCATTTAAAAACTTTAAAAAACTTTTTTTTATTTCAGATAATAAGTTTGGAAGCCGAACAAGCTGATAGACTAAAAGTTGAAGCCATCACTGCAGCTATATGTCAGTATGGTACTTCAACGAAAGCCAATGATCAATAAATTATTTAAATTATTTATTTATATTTTTATCAATACTCAAAAGCCTATAATCCTATAAGGATAAGCTATGAATATGCTAACAACTAGCATATTCTTGGTGAAGGCCCTCATCCGCATATTCATTTTTCAAAAAAATTCTTTTCATTATTTTTACATGCAGTTTTCATCTTTTTGCTTGTAATAAATCTTTAATTATTTAAATAATTAAACAAAATAAAAATAATAATATATTTGCCATTTTATTTATTAGATGATAAATATTATCTGAAAGTCTGAGATTTACATATGCAATTGAGTAAACTCGTAAAAAAAAGTTTGTTTCTCTTGTGAAATATTTTCGAATGACGCATAAGTATTATATCAAGCATGGTCGAGTATTTCGTCATCTATTCACTGGGGAAAAAGTTTCATAAAACGAAAGAAAGTTTTTCTTGTTACAAAATTTTTTTATATATTTTTTCAATCATTTAATGCTTTTATTCCGACAGGAGATTAAATAAATCTATAATCGAAATATACATTGCTTTTGAGCCGCTGTCGCTTTTTTTTTGTATTCTGCCGTCATCTATATATAAATAATTTTTTTGCTTTTCTTTCGAATACTAATGGTTCTCTTCTTTTTGAGTCATTGAGAAAAATTGTATCACTTGTGGTTGTACTTACTCATTATTAACTTTTTTTTTACCCACACTGGGTAAAAATGTTGTCCTTTAAAGTTACTGATTTTCTATCAAACATTATCAGTTGGAAAATAAAACATAAAATATCTTTTTGTATAATATTGCACACACGACACTATTATGACACAGAGAATCGATGAATGTATGTTAATAGTTAACTTCTTAGCGAAAAATCTTTTAATGATATTTTTATTTTATAAATTACAGTCATGTCAATAAGTGACGATGAAATCTCTTTATATATGAAAGATTTGTCTCAAGATACAAATGTATCAAATAGTTTTGAAGATTTCGAACTTGATGGTGAAAAGATTCATCAACCAAATTCTTCTGAAGACACAGGCGAAGGTCTTCTGTCGGATGTACTAGCTGATGTCAGTATGGATTTCACAGCAATAGTTAACGAATATTTAAAAACAAATAACAATCATTGCTTCTCTAACATATCTCAAAGTATATTTTAAATACTAAAATAGCTCTGATTTTTTTTCTCTATTGTATACTATTAGATCTAGTTCCTTTAACGGATCCTATTGATGATATATCAGGTAGAACTCTTATGACAATTTTTAAGATTATATATCCAATTTTTTATTTCAATTGTAGACATACCCATAATTCATAGTGATTTCACAGGCAATCAATTGGATGGAAATTTAAATTATAATTTATTTGAAGAAATAGTATGTTTCACATTATGCTCTAATAAAATTTATTCTTGTTTAATACTAGATTATAACTCATGATGAGGTGAACGAAATACAGGAACAAACAAACTATGAGATTAATGGAACAATGACTGTTAAAGAACAACCGAAATCTGATCAACGAGGACGGTATGCAAGCGATGGTCCACGATTTTTACCAGATTCGAAAAAACATCCGACGTCTATTCAAGTTTGTTTAAAAAAATATATATAATTGACAAAACTTGTTCTTTATGTATTATAGTTGCCAGATTTGTCGTCTGTACTATTAGCAGATAATGAAATATTTGGAATTATTCTTACTATGGTTACATCAACAAATAACCTAAAAAATAAAACCTTTGTACATGTTAATGGTATTAAATATCGTACGGGTGATGCCATCGAACTTGATAATGGAAGTATATTTCTTCCATTAACAAAATCAGATATACAAACGGGCGAAAAAATGTAAGTAAATATTGATGATCATAGTATTTCTTAATATACGCTTTTTATCATTCAGATTTCCACGTTTATCGATCATTTGTAAGAAATTTGATGAATATACATTTCATTTAACATCATTTGATACGACAACTTGCGAACGCATAATGGAAAAATGTTCGTAGTTTATTAAATTTATTTTTTAATTTATTTATTTTCTGTTTACTATATATAGACACAACTATAAATGACGATAAGATCACTAACGCAGCAAAAGGAAAACAATTTACAACAGATTATGATTTGCATTCTTATAAATTTGTTTTTCAATTAGCATTAAAACAAGACGATATATTTAAAATCTTCTTAAATGTTAAATGTGAAACAAATATTATTAATGAGCGTATGTTTAGTCTATTAATTTATATTTAAATGAATATATTTGATTTTTAGAAAAAACATCACCAAAAGAAATCAAACAAAAAGCTTCAACAAGTGATAATATATCCAAAAAAAGAAAAAACAACAAGAATATGCCGATGTTGAATTCATCTAAACAATTTAAATCATCAACTATTGAGTATCCGGTAAATATCTTTCATTTCAAACTTATTCGAAACCTATTTTTAATTAGAAGCAAAAGAAAGGTGTATAATTTTAATATTATTGAAAGAGTACTTAAGAGGAAAAAAGGATTCTATATAAACATATAAATAATTTCTTTTTAGGTGACACGTTCATCAAGTCATAAAACAAAGCGATTTCAAAAATTGTTTGTAGATAGTTCATAACTATCTTGGCAGAAAGGCCTCATCCGCGGTCCAACTTTTTTTCACCGTGTTATTATTATTTTATTCTAAGAACACGTTAATCATTACATAAATATTTTTTTTAATTTTATATATATAATTTTTTAATAAACACCTAGTGTTTTTCTATCGTTTTGATTACATTCAACGTATTTTGATATTGATACAGTCATATTTTCAATCAACAAACCTAATTAATCAAAACCATATATTTTCTCTTTTTTTTCTTTACATAAGATAAACTACGATTTTTCGTAATGTTATTTTCGTATTCTAAGTCATGCATTTATCAATGTTCTGTATAGTCGGGTTTCATGACATAAGCAGAACATTTTTGCCTATACCTTTTATATAAAAGTATCGATATACATTTCGTTCTCTCTCTCTCCATGCTAGTTGTACTTTGGGTTTTTTTCTTCTTCTCTTCTTATTACGTCGTTGTGACATTTGAGTTATGAGTCATGGAAAGAGAACAAAATAAAAAAAACCTTGTGAATAGGAGGAGAAAAGAAAAAGCTCGAACGAAGAATGACAAAAGCAGCAAAGTAAGTAGGAAAAAACCAACAAGAGCCCAGAAGAAAAAAGAAATAGTAAGTATGGAAGTGAATATATATTTACATCTCTTTTTTTTCTCGTAAATATTTTCAGCATAAAACGAATATATTTAAATAATAGTTAAAACTATAGTTTTTGTTTTTGAGTAAAATAAAATAACACATGTTTTTATTCTATTTATTTGCATTATTCTATAGAACGAAAACCATACATGCTGCTATATATTTTGTTGTTGAAAACAATTTTTTTTATATTTATAGATGCTTTTTTTTATAGTCACCACTTAGTGTGGTGTATAACATGTTTTTATCCAATCAATTATTTTCAATTTGAAGTTAAAGAAATAGAATATGGCATCGGGAAGTAAGCGAGAATATTATCCATGGTAACATTGAATTCATATTTATTTTTAGGAAATGAGACTAATTTTGATCCAATGAATAATCTTGAGTTTACTCTTATACCGAGTATGTATTAATTAATTTGCATAGAACTTTTATTTCAATTTTGTTTTTGAAGATCTTATTCAATCTTCATCGCCAAGTGAAGAAACTAGTAATGAAATGAAAATTACAATTCTTATTAATAAGTATTTTATAATTTAGGTTCGCCTGTTCTCTATGATTACAATATATCGGAATCATTTTATGAAATTGATACTGCAGGTTAATAAGTTTCATAAGTAAAATGGATTATTTTTATATTATTTTATTTAAGATTTAAATATGGCACTTTATGGAGATCAATTATTCAGTGATATACTTAACAATATTTTGGAAGTTAATCAACTTGCCCGTTAGTTTTATTTATTTAATTAATAAGAAATATTGTTTTTTTTGTTAAATAGCACCTAGCCCTCATACGGATGAAATCAGTGAACTATTGATGGATAACATAGGAGTATCTAATTCAACAGAATCTAATGATACGGCAAATCGTATGATTTTTACTAATTCAAATTTTTCGCTTATAATCTATTACTACTTTAGCTGTACAAACTATGGATGAACAATTAGCTATGAATAAACCAAATTATCCAACAATGCCAACTACTCGTTCGCATACCGAAAAATGTATTTTAAGAAAGAAAAAGAGAATATTCTTATAAAATTTATGTCTTTATAGCATCAATAAATAATCATACGAATCAATCAATATCATTATCTGAATCCGTTGCTGTTACTGTTCCAACACCAAATCAATTAATATTAGTGCATCCATTAGAAAATACATATAAAGCACGATATAAAAGTGATTATTTCCCACAAACTGGTAACGTTCGACGACCACGCTATGTTTCTGATAATGCTAGCAATCATTTCATTACACTACAGGTATGAACAAGATAGAAAATCATAACGAATGAACTATTATCTTTCAATATAGTTGCCAGCAGGATATCATCGTGATTTTACACATGAATATATTCGGGTTGCATTAGTAACAACATTAATCAATAATCGCGAACGTTATTATAGTCCATATAAATTTCAAACAAATCATGATGATGCTAAAGTTCCCGATCAAAATCCGATTTATATATCAGTAAAAAAAAATGAAGAAAAGGGTTGTTTGAAGTAAATCTTTAATATTCACGGAAAAAAAGAAATTACTTTTTAATATTATGAATCGTTTAGATTGTATCTTGTTTTAATTAAATCAAAACTAGATCAACTTTATGATGCTCAACCGTTAAAACCTTTTTCAGATGTACTTCATCATGTTCAAAGTAAGAATAAATATAAATTTTAACTTACAAATTTAATTTAATTTGATATTTTAGATATAATCGATGAAGAAAGACTAGCATCAAAAGAATTAATTACTAAATATCAACTAGATAAATCACATATAGCGTTTACATTATGTACAAAACTACCAAACGGTACATATGATGTTCATCCTGAAACAACAATTATTTCATCAGTTATAACAGAAACATCAACAAAACCATCAGCAACAACAACAACAACAAATAATAAATCAAGTATTTCTCTAGATCATTAAATATTGATTTTTGTTTAATTAATTTTTATTTTCTCTACAATCAGCTGCAAAAAGTAAACCAAAAACAGTTAGTTGTCCACATTGCAAGCATTGTTTTGATCCAACTGATGCTGTAAATGCAACGAAGAAAGAAACGAAACGAAAAGCTCCAAGTGGTACAAGATCAAAAGTATAGAAAAGAATTATTTTTTCTTAGATAAAATTATTTTTTAAAATATTTTTAGACAACAATTAGTACTCGGGCTAATAAAAAGAAAAAAATGAATTAAAGAACAAATTTAATGTTAACAATTTTCTATGATTTCGATGTCCATCTTTTACTTATATTACATACACCCACATCCTCAAGATTTTATTTCGTAATACTATTTTTTGAAGTTAGTGTCAATGTCTTGTGATTGTAACGTCTTCTTTTTAATATATCTGATCGTATTATATATTATGGCTTATCTAAAGAATTGAAAAAAAATGGATCGAACAATAAATAATCTATTGGCTTAACTATACTATTGCAAGGACCGATGCCGAGTTGATATATCCTATTTCATTAATCTTTTTGTTAAACTAAAGAATAAAATATATACACACACATTCAAAATCTTTTTTTCTTTTGTACGGAAACAACAAAAACATTTTCCTCTATCAATAGTCGATAAACACGTTTTATGCATATGACGACATTTTTATTCATTCTGCGTGGCTTTTTGCGTTCTGTTTATCTATGTAATGAAAAATTATTTTGGAAAAATCCATCAGTTTTTTTATGTTTATATGCTACGCCATAACAGCATAAGTCATATATATAAAAGAAAAAAATATTTCAGAGTGGGTATTCAAAACCTTTTAACATGATTTCTACTGAAGTGTCAGTAAGCGATTATATCAGTAATTTTCGAGTTAGTGATAACGATGGCCAAGAATTACGTGCATTAGATAGTATATCATTCAATAACTATAATTGTTTGTCTACCAGCGACAACTGTATTCCCTGCGATTCAACATATAATATTGGTAAGATAAAAAAAGAACAAATTTCAGTTTTTTAAACCATTATTTATAAATATTTGTTTATATGCAGATCCACGAGTTTATATTGCTGATAAAAGTGAATTTGATAGATATTTGCCTGGCTTCAACGGCTTGAAAAGTAAGCAAAAATTTATATAGAAATAATTTTGTTTTACTAATAAATTTTACAATATAGACGACACAATCAATGGCAATCAATATTGTGCATCTAATAATGCTAATCCACAATTATTTAAACAATTTACTTGTATGTAAAAAGATTTCCTTTTTGTGAATTTCATGTATAAATAATTATTTTGTATCTTCATATAGTTCAAAATACTCAAGTACAATCAAAAACAAATTCAATTCCACTCTCACAATCAATTCAAGTCACATTACCAAAAAAACCCAAAGATCCATTGCATATAATTCGAATTGTTTATGATTTAGAAGAGACTCATCGACCACGATATAAAAGTGATTGTTTTTCTCAACATGGGACGGTTTGAAAACCACGATATGTAGCTGATGAAAAGGGAAACCATTTTGTAACACTCGAAGTAAGATTTCTCATCTATTATTTCTTAATTATATATTAAATTTCACAGATACTAGCCCGCATTTATGGTTATATTCGAATCGACTGGACAACAATTCCGGATAAGAATGGTATTCGATATTCAATGCCTTACAAATTTCAAGAAGACAATGAATCGTCTGATGTATCTGATCGTAATCCAGTCTATCGACGTATTACCCCTGAAGATCTTGGAATAATAAAGTAAATTATTCATACATTTCTTTCAAAGTTTTATCTTATTTTTGTTCATTTAGACTTTATTTAGTTTTAATTAAATCAAAACAAGAAGAATTAAAAAAGATTCAATCAATGGATATATTTCCTCCATCTGAACACACATTAAAAACAACGGATCATAACGATTTTGAACAAAAATATTCCCGAGCACCAAAACAACTGATTCGAGATTATCAACCAGATAAATCCCAATTAGCATTTACATTTCGTTCGATAAGTCCAGACGGACAGCAGCTTATACCTGAATGGGATACAACTGTTTATTCAACAGTTCTTACGGGTAAGAAATAGATCTATTGCGCTGTTTATATATATTATTTTAATATTTCATAGAAGAGATGCCTATTGCTTCAAAAAAACGAGCAGCTACTTGTCCAATGTGTCAACATGCGTTTGAAATTACATTAGATAATGCTGATGATCTTGATTATGAAAAACCAAAACGACGAAAAAAATAGTTTTAGTAAAAAAAAAAAAACAACACATAAACTCGATTTTTGTTCTGCTTTTTATTTATTTATTTATTCTGGATATTATTCGATATAAAAACAATTTTTAATCTGGATTCAACATTTTTAGTTATTTTAAATGATTTTGTTTCTATTTATATGAATATTTAAAATATGAGTATTTAAAAATTATAAAATGTATTGTAATTGCATCAAACAACGTAATACCGATGTGTTTTTTTCTTACAATGATGAGTCATCTTCATGAGTATCTTAAAAAAGATAGACTTTACTCTGCGTAGGTGTCGAAAGTTATATTTACTACATTTTAAGCAAAGAAATATAACAATAAAATTAATGCTTTTAACTCCCATATTTTCTTACGTCCTGGATAAACAAGAAAAAAACTAGTTCAATCTCTCTTCTCTCCAACGTTTATCTTTATAGTAAACTGTGTTTTAATTCTCTCGTTAATATTTTTAAAATAATCACGTGTGTTATAATAAATTTAATTTGAAAAATTTTTATATAACATCCATCTTTTAAAAAAGATTAAATAAGAGAAAATATTAAAATCGATTATAAGATTTTATTGTAAAATTTTGTTTGTTATGTATACAAATGTTGTCGATAAGATTTTTATATTTGTTCTTTTTATTTTCAATAATACACTCATTATGAATTTACTTTCTATTAATTCTTATAGAAAATTAATTTATGAGGATGGATATGGATGTGAGTTAGAATAAAGAGTGAGTATCCACCCATCACATCTACCCTCAGGATGTTAAAATCGATTTTCGGTTGATGATTTTCTGGAGAACAGGGATGCAGAATCTTCTGTAAAAACAAAACATTTCCCCAAACGCGCGTCCGCGCAGGAAGCCATATTCTGCACCCCTGTAGTTATGTAACTAAAAAGTAAAGTAATTATTCCATCCTAATGAAAACAAAGTTCAATACAATTTTTTAATGAAATATTTAAAAAAAATATGTATAATTAGTCGTGGCATAGTTTAAATACATTTAATTTTATTTAATTGAATATAGAAAATGACTAAAGTTATACATTTAAACATTAGTTACAAATAATGTACTGCAAAAAAAAACTTTTTTTGATTGAAAAGATTTATAGTATATGATATACAAACGTAATATATATTTCCAAGCTTAGTTTATTTATTTATTTTGTTATTATTATTTAATGAAAGTATTCAAGTTTCATTAGAATTTTAAAAAAACCAAAATATTTCAAAGTATTGCCTAGTCTATAATTGTTTTTTTATCTAGAATAAATTCATTAGCGTAATTTCATGATTTCTATTTAGAATTATAGTATTCATATAATATTTATTTATTGTGATTTTTTTACTTTTTTTCTATAATAAAACTATTCATATGTTTATAACATTAAAACTTTTCCCTTTTTCTTACAATATTAATTGCGCATTTTTTCCCATCATTATATTTATTCTAGTTACTATGTATATCATCAATCTCATTAATATTCAATTAAAATGTGAATTATTTACCATTACCATCGACAATAATTCACGATCTTTTCAACAAATATCTTACATGTGATAATTAACTAAAAGTCAGTTATGTTCATAAATGATTTATTTTGTACAGCTATTTGAGAGTAAATATTGTTACATAAAAACACAACAATATATATATTCAAGAAATTCATCCGCAGTGTTACAGTTAAAAACTTTACCAAAGTCGTTTAACATCAAAATATTATTAAACAATTAAGATGTAGGGATATTATAAAGTAGATTTATTGCTTTATTCTCCATTTGTTTATCGTCCAAAATATATACTTCTGAATCTTTTTGTGTACTCAAAAAGTGAGTACACATATAGAATCGGTTAGTGTGTACGTCCATAATACTTCGGTCTAGTTCGAAGATGAGCCTAATTGAACGAGCCATTCCTGAATTATTGCAAAAACACATATATTCTTCTTTGGCAAGAACGATAGAACGCCGTTCTCGTAAGAAATTTTTCTACGTAAGTCGAAGAAAATCCCGTTTGTTATATACCATTCAATAGAGAATTTTACGAGATAAAAAGTGATGCATAATATATAAAGAAATAAGAAGTCTATGTTACCCATATACAAATATAATTATACAGAAAATGATTCCAATGTTGTCAGCGCTTCCGATCGCAGATATGTTACTTTGAGGTTTCCTGGGTTGGAGATCTCGAATCTGTACTTCGTTTACTTCGAAACTCCATTAGTTGAGCAGTAGTCAATAAAAACTAAGTTATTAAAAAAATGGTTGTCCTACAGTAAATAAAGGCAGAGAGTTGAAATATGAGCTGTATTCGATCCCACATCCTTTCAAATGAGCAACAGTCAACAGAAAGCGTACCCATAAAAAAATATTTATGATAATTTTGGTGCTCAGATATTCTAGAATGACTCATCTACCTCATATAGTTTTTATAGTAATGTATCAGAATCATTATGATGGTGGAATACTTGAAGACGAATTGTACTACTACTTTGATGATTAATTTGTTTTGTTTTTTGTAAGATACATTTTGAAAATCACCCTCTTCGAAAGTATTAAAAAGACATCTACGTAATGAACGTGTTGGAGAATTAACTAATTGTACTTCAGAAGTTCCACTAGCAGAAGCATGTTGATGTATAATCGAACTGGAGTTCAAAAACATATTTTCACTCGTATCATTAATAGAATGTTGACAATGTCATTGTTGTTTATTAAAACAAGTTAATATTGGTTTATTAATTGATTTATCAACAACATCTCTATTTTTCGGGATGTCAGCCAACATCGTTTTATTAAGATGATAATTAGCCATAATACAAATTATGCACTTTAAGTACGAAAAATATGTCACGCAATGTAAGCGAGATTATATAATACGTAGAGGAATAGAAAAGAAGGACAAAATACGACTGATCAGTACGTGTTAAAAAGCGAGAATCAGCTTGTATTTTTTATTGTTCATTTTAATATCAAATATTGTTTTATAGTAACATATGTTTATATTTGAGATGCCATCTGATCTTAGTAGTCGAATCGATTTAATAAGTCAAATTAATTTTCAATAAAAGAAAATCATATAGGAATCCTTCTTTTTGTTCTAGTTAAACTTAAAAAGAGAAGGTTTGATTTCAGAACTTCCACAACCAACTTTACTACTGCAATCAACAGGAACATTTTCAACTCGGCATTACTCGTCGGAATCCGCCGAAAAAAGCGAGCGATCCGGTACAAGGATCTGATGATCGATAACGGCGGCCGGTTTTAACGAGTTCCTATCGGTTCCAGGTGAAACCCGATAAATCTTGGGAACAGATTCGGTCGCCGGAATACTATGGAACCGGCCGTTTCCGTGCCGGATTGTTTGACATGGGTAATTACAAATTTTTATTTCTTTTAAAGATTTCCATTATTTCAAAAAAAAAAAAAAGATATTTTTCATATGTTGAATATTTTCCTTAATTACATAAGATAATCTATGTTAAAAAAACGATTCACAGATAAGATATATACACTTTTTTTTATAGCATGTGAATGTATAGCTGCGTCTTTGTATTCTAGTCTGTATAGTATTTCAGTGCATTCTTTGATTGTTTCTATAACTTGTATTTTTCATAGTTTACTTTAATATTAAATATTTTTCATAATAAATTATCTTTTTATTTTAGATGATTGACAGCGGTCCAAGTGGTAATCCTCCAGTGAGTAAAATTAATTCTTAACAAAAGAAGTTCATAATTTTTCTTTTTGTTTTAGAACCACTTTCAACAACAACTACCAACACAACAACAACTACCAACACAACAACAACTACCAACACAACAACAACCAACACAACAACAATCACACTCTTTATCGACAATACTTCTTATTCTTTTATTAATAGTATTATGTAAGTTCTACAAATCATTGCATGATCTGTAATAAAAAATTTTTTTAGTTTATTTAATAATGGCAGATATATGTGCGACATTAATTCGTAAGATTAAATATAAATTTCAGAAATTTAAACTAGAAATTTTAATTTATTTAATTTAGTTGTGTTACGTGGCATACATGAACCAGTGAATTACATTGAAGAAGAAAGTGAGTTCTTGTTCAATAAATAATCATTGTTTTATTTTTTTTTATAATATTTGAAGGTTCATCAGTATTTGAAGGAAATGTTAAACATGGTGGTGAACTGTAATTTCAATTTTTTTGTTTCTTACCAACCTTCGATAAATTTTCTCACTAAAACTAAATTAGACATATTCTTTTTTTTATATTTCTAACCAAAACGGTAAAATTCTATTTTTTGCTATGTAAATTATATTTTATAAACATGTCGAAGGTCTACATTATACAACATAATAAAATCAACAATATGTAACATCATCTTCCTTCATCTCAAAACGTATTATCACTACTTTTCTTTTCTTATCCTTTTAACTATGTCGAGATGTAAAAAAAGACAACGTCCATATAGTCAATATCTTGTTTTTGCGATGTTTCCCATAAATAAACTATATGTTGTACGAAAGATTGGTAAATCTATGCTATTGTTTTGTTTTCGATATATCCATCTTACATTTCAACCATTTTTTCTCTTATTTTTTTGTTCCCGAGATCATTACAGCACGAAATAACAACTTTTTATGCACACATCAACAAAGTAAGAAAAAACAAAAAAACTCATGCAGGACTTGGGTGTGTGTCTATCTGTGCGGAGTGAAAAATTAAGAACTAAACGTCGAATAAGACTATAAGGGGGAAGTGTATTCATAGGTTCCAAAGGGCATTCTATGGGAGTACTCATAGATCCTCAAGATACATATAATGTGAGTACCCATGGATCCTGAAGAGAGTAAAGCAATAATGAGATACGGCTACAAGAACTACAGTGAATATAAAGCTGTAAGGCCGACGGCTATATCGAGTTATCTATATACATAATATATGAATATCTTCTTAGAAAATACATACAAAGCACGATATAAAAGTGATTATTTCCCACAAACTGGTAACGTTCGACGACCGCGCTATGTTTCTGATAATGCTAGCAATCATTTCATTACACTACAGGTATGAACAAGATAGAAAATCACAAAGAATGAACTATTATCTTTAAATATAGTTGCCAACAGGATATCATCGTGATTTTACACATGAATATATTCGGGTTGCATTAGTAACAACATTAATCAATAATCGCGAACGTTATTATAGTCCATATAAATTTCAAACAAATCATGATGATGCTAAAGTTCCCGATCAAAATCCGATTTATATATCAGTAAACAAAAAATTAAGAAAAGGGTTGTTTGAAGTAAATCTTTAATATTCACGAAAAAAAAATTAAGTTTTAATATTATGAATCGTTTAGGTTGTATCTTGTTTTAATTAAATCAAAATTAGATCAACTTTATGATGCTCAACCGTTAAAACCTTTTTCAGATGTACTTCATCATGTTCAAAGTAAGAACGAATATACATTTTAACTTACAAAAATAACTTTATTTTATATTTCAGATATAATCGATGAAGAAAGACTAGCATCGAAAGAATTAATTACTAAATATCAACTAGATAAATCACATATAGCGTTCACATTATGTACAAAACTACCAAACGGTACATATGATGTTCATCCTGAAACAACAATTATTTCATCAGTCATAACAGAAACATCAACAAAACCATCAGCCACAACAACAACAACAAATAATAAATCAAGTATTTCTCTAGATCATTAAATATTGATTTTTGTTTAATTAATTTTTATTTTCTCTACAATCAGCTGCAAAAAGTAAACCAAAAACAGTTAGTTGTCCACATTGCAAGCATTGTTTTGATCCAACTGATGCTGTCAATGCAACGAAGAAAGAAACGAAACGAAAAGCTCCAAGTGGTACAAGATCAAAAGTATAGAAAAGAATTATTTTTTCTTAGATAAAATTATTTTTTAAAATATTTTTAGACAACAATTAGTACTCGGGCTAATAAAAAGAAAAAAACGAATTAAAGAACAAATTTGATGTTAACAATTTTCTCTGACTTCGATGTTCTTCTTTTACTCATATTACATACACACACATAAATTTTCTTCGTAAACAACAACAACAAAAACATTTTCTCTATAGATAATCGATAAACACGTTTTATGCATATGACGACATTTTTATTTCTTCTAGAATGTTCTCGCGTTGTGTTTACCTGTACAACGAAAGGTTGTTCTAGAGCAAATCTATCGGCTTTGCGGTGTTTATTCACCACCCAGTAATTGCGTAAGTCGATTATATAAAAGAAAAAATATTTCAGAGTGGGTATTCTAAACCTTTTAACATGACTTCGACTGAAGTGTCAGCAAGCGATCATATCGGTACTTGTCGAGTTAGTGATGACGATGGTCAAGCATTACGTGCATTCGATAGTATATCATTCAATGATTATAATGATTTGTCTGCTAGTAACAACTGTATGTCATGGAATTCAACATATAATATTGGTAAGATGAAAAAAGAAAATTTCAGTTTTTTAAACTATTATATTTAACAGATCCACGAGTTTATATTGCTGATAAAAGTGAATTTAATATATATTTTCCTGGCCTCGACAGCTTGAAAAGTAAGCAAAAATTTATATAGAAATAATTTTGTTTTACTAATAAATTTTACAATATAGACGACACAGTCAATGACAACCAGTATTGTGCATCTAATAATGCTAATCCGGAATTATTTAAACAATCTACTTGTACGTAAAAAGATTTCCTTTTTGTGAATTTCATGTATAAATAATTATTTTGTATCTTCATATAGTTCAAAATACTCAAGTACAGTCAGAAACAAATCCACTTCTACTCTCACAATCAATTCGAGTTGCAGTGCCAAAAAAACCCAAAGATCCGTTGCATGAAATTCGAATTGTCAACGGTTTAAAAAAGGCTTATAAAGCACGATATAAAAGTGATTGTTTTTCTCAAAATGGAACGGTTCGAAAACCACGATATGTAGCTGATGAAAATGGAAACCATTTCGTAACACTCGAAGTAATATTCCTAATCTATTATTTCTTAATTATATATTTAATTTCATAGGTACCAACCGGTATTCGTGGTTATCTTCGAGTCGACTGGATAACAATTCCGGATAAGAATGGTATTCAATATTCAATGCCGTATAAGTTTCAAGTAGACCATAAATCGCCTGATGTATCTGATCGTAATCCAGTCTATCGACGTATTACCCCTGAAGATCTTGGAATAATAAAGTAAATTATTCATACATTTCTTTCAAAGTTTTATCTTATTTTTGTTCATTTAGACTTTATTTAGTTTTAATTAAATCAAAACAAGAAGAATTAAAAAAGATTCAATCAATGGATGTATTTCCTCCATCTGAACACACATTAAAAACAACGGATCCTAACGATTTTAAAGAAAAATATTCCCTATCACCAAAACAATTGATTAAAGATTATCAATTAGATAAATCTCAATTAGCATTTACATTTTGTTCGATAAGTCCGAACGGAAAGCAGCTGATACCTGAATGGAATACAACTGTTTATTCAACTGTTCTTGAGGGTAAGAAATAGATCCATTGCGCTATTTATATATATATTATTTTAATATTTTATAGAAGAGATGCCTGCTGCTTCAAAAAAACGAGCAGCTACTTGTCCAATGTGTCAACATTCGTTTGAAATTATATTGGATAATGCTGATGATCCTGATTATGAAAAACCAAAACGACGAAAAAAATAGTTTTTAGTTAAAAAAAAAAACAACACATAAACTCGATTTTTTGTTTGCTTTTCTATGTATTTATTCTGGATATTATTCGAAATAAAAAACAATTTTTAATCCAGATTCAACATTTTTAGTTATTTTAAATGATTTTGTTTCTATTAATATGAATATTTAAAATATGAGTATTTAGAAATTATAAAATTTCTTGTAATTGCATCAAACAATGCATTATCAATGGGTTTTTTTCTTACAGTGATGAGTCATCTTCATGAGTATCTTAAAAAAGATAGACTTTACTCTACGTAGGTGTCGAAAATTATATTTACTCCATTTTAAGTCCTAAAGTACTGACACAAATCAGTTCTTTTTTTTGAAAAGAGTTACTATGATAAACATTTGTTTATGCCAACCGTGATATAAACTTAACTACTATATTTTTTTGAGTCATATATCACGTCACTTGTTTTTTTCTTATGTATGGTAAAAAAAATATGTTTTCGATAAACATATCGATCGATGACGAAGCAAAAAAATTACAATATTATATAATTATTATTCCTTTCATATTATGCGTCATTGATTAAGTTAGGATTATTTTGGACTAGACATGTACTTTTTCTGACTAGACTAAATATTTTTATAATGTTCTGTCGATGAAGAAAAATATGAGTCATGGTTACTCGTTCTGTTTTGTTTTGCTTTCTTCTCTTCCGACCTGACACATACACAAAAGGGAAAAAGCCAAATGCACAGACATTTTTTCCCATATAAATACACGTAATAAATAAAACAGAATATCTTTTTATAGAAAAGTATTGTGGTAGTCGCGATTTGGTTTTGTGTCGCTCTTATCCGTCCATTATTGAAAAAAACTATATTTTTTAATCACCACTATAAATATTATTGAAAATATGTTTTCTCTAAATAACATGACTCATGAACGTATATCCGAAGAAGCGCATGGCGAACTTGCCTCTTTTTTTACAAATGAAACTGATCTTTTACTTGGCGATGAAATTATGGATATAGTCAATGGTTCTAATTTTGTAAATGATCTTAATGATGTTGGTCTATGTGATTTCGACCAAATGATCGGTAATATAAACTAGGATATTTAATAAAAATTCAAATATGATTTAATTTTTGTTTGTATAGAATCAATAATGGGTCCTGTTGAACCAAATGACTTAGATAAATACTTAGGTCTACCCAATCAACAAGGTAAATACGGATTTAAAAATTATGCAATATCTTTTAAACTATTTATTTTCTTAGTTTTAGATAGGTCTCCTGATTATGACAACAATTGTGCATTGGCTTTGAGTGATATATTTGCAACACCAATTAGTAAGTATATTCATTTTGAAAACTACCTTATACTATGTAATATTCAATTATTTTTATTATTTTTTAATAGTAAAAGGAGAAAAGATTTATTCAAATACTAAACAAGTTGCATTGTCACAATCGGTTGGTGTTGGTCAAACACAAAATATACCCAAACCTTCGCAAAAAATCTCTATTCCTTATGATTTAGAAGAATCTTTTCGACCTCGTTACAAAAGTGACTATTTTGCTCAGAATGGAAAAAATCGTAAACCAAGATATGTTGCTGATCGAATTGGTAATCACTTTGTTACTATCAAAGTAAGAGAGATTTCTTAAGAATAGAACATTTATATTTTAATTTTTTTTAATAATATATTAGGTTCCAGTAGGTGTTCGTGGTTATATTCGAGTTGCTTGGCTAACAATACCTGATAAATCTGGAAATCAATATTATATGCCTTACAAATTTCAGCAAAGTAATGTTTCAATACAAGAACAGGATGTTAACCCATTATACGTTCCAATTGCTGCTGATAGCCATGGATATATGAGGTATGTCATTTATCCTTTTCTATTTAAGTATTTTTTTTATTCTTTTTAATATAGATTATATCTCGTATTAATCAAATCAACACAAGGTGAACTTAAATCGATTAGTTCATTGGAACCATTTCAACCATTTCGCAATTTGTTTGGTGCATTAGATGAAAAGAAGACAGAACAAAAATTGGCATTAACTCCCAAGCAATTGATTCATATGTATCAATTAGATCAGTCTCAATTAGCATTTACATTTTGTTCGATAAGTCCAGATGGAAAGCAGACTATACATGAATGGGATACAACCGTTTATTCAACAGTTCTCACTGGTAAGAAATAAATACTATTCAATTTGAATATATATATACATGTTCTTTTATTTATGTAGAACTACCACCAGAGAATTCAAAACGAAAAATAATTACATGTCCAAGATGCACACATGAATTTCCATTACAGATAAATGGTGATGATGATGGTACTCCAAAAAAAGTTACAAAGAAACGAAAAGTAAATCATCAAGCACATGAGCATCAATACACATAGGCAGAGTACGCCTCAAATTTTCTTTTTAATATCTTTAATTAAGAAATATTATTTTTATTTTAGTTATAAAGAAATTGATTATGTGCTTGATATATTTGCATTTCTTCTACAAAAAAAACTTGTACTTATGGCTTACTAACTTAACCACATCTGTTATACTTATTCATGAAATTCACTGTAATGATTATATAATAAAATTACTTACAATGTCTATAAATGAATTTTATAATAACTGTTAAAGTAGATTAGATTTACTTGAAATATTATATTTGTATTTTCTTATTTATTTCTTTAAATTTTATATAAAATTAAATGAGTGATAAAATCACATGTATATTTTTCTCTTTTGTAAATATATTAAATTTAAAATATTCGAAAATGGTGTGATTTCATTAATAGTTTAGAAATAGTAAAGTATTCATAATAACTTCGCCAATTATACTTACATAAAGTGCTATGGACTATATCAAAAGGATATATTTGAAAAATTCATCAGATGTTACAGATACAATAAGAAAATATCGAACAGAACGCAAGGAAAGAATAAGAATGAACACATATGAATAATTCGTTTGATCTTTTGACACATTCTAGTGATGGATTTCATAACATTTGGTATGTACTTTTAATGTAATTCTTTTTTTCATTTGAATCTATGTGTTGCACCAATAATATAAGACAATAAGTACGACAAAATAATTCAGTTTCAAGTTCTATATAGAACTTGATGGTTCTAACGCTCTTTCCTCTAGTGACATCTATACAAGTTGATATTTTTCTTATTGTTATGAACTATTATTTATTTTTTATCTTTAATATTCAAATTGTAATTATTTTTTAATACATTGACAACTAAAGAGGTATACATTCAACATTTCATTGGATACTGAAACCTTTACTACACAAAGATGGCTGTTGCTATTAGACATTTTCATACTCTTTCTCGTCTATCCAACATTTCGTAAACATTAGATTTATTATCAATTCAAGTATCTTCTTATATATTTTGTTATAATCGAATATATAAATTTTAATCTTTTAGATAATTACTAAATTTTCAATTAATCGAAAAAAGTAAATTAAATAAGACTCCTTTCATTTATCAAAAATACTTCTTTAAATCTTATTAAAGAATGACAGTTGAAACTGATACAATTAAGAATCCAAAAGAATCTCCCACAAAAACAAAACGTAAACGTGCATCACGTTCAAGTTCAAGTGGTTCAAGTTCATCAGGCACGACAAGTTCCTCATCAGCTTCGAGTCGTTCATCGTCATCCTCATCATCTAATTCATCATCATCAACTAGTCGTTCATCATCAGCTGCATCATCACCAGAAAAAAAAGGTGATCGTAATAAAGTAAATAATAATAAATCATCAAATAAAAAATCATCAGAACATGATATAATTGATGAAAAAAAACCTGTTCAATCAACAAATTCAACACGTCGTAGTCCAAGTCCATCATCACGTCGGCAAGAAAAAGAAGCTACCAAAATTTATATTGGTAAACTATCTTTAAATGTTAATAAAGAACATTTAGCTGAAATCTTTGGAACATTTGGTGAAATAAAAGAGATTGATTTACCATCTCATCGTATATATACACATCTTCATCGTGGTTTTGCTCATATTGAATATGTGACAGCAAATGGTGCTGAACAAGCATGTAAATATATGGAAGGTGGACAAGTTGATGGTAAAGAAATTGTTTGTGTGCTGGTTCATGGTCAACCACCACATTTATCTTCGGATAGAAATCGTCGAGAACGATCACCTTATCATGGAAGACGTCGACGTTCACCATTACCACCATCACGTCATTATCCACCACAAAGACGTATGGGAGATCGTGATCGTGATCGTGGAAGATATAATGATCGACGAGGTGGATATTCACCACCATCAAGAAATTATCGACGTGGACAATCACCACCGACATCTAGTCGACGAACTGGTGCAGGTGGAAATGCGGCTGAATCACCAAAGAAAAAAGAACGTAGATATTCACGATCAAGTTCAAGTGAATCAAAATAAATAACATTCGTCTTTATGTGTTAGTTTTTCTTTTTTCTTCTTTACTTTTGTTTTCTTGTGCTTATTTGTTGTTCCTGTTATTGTTGTTGTTGTTGTTTGTATGAAAAAATCAACAACAGAAAAAATAAGAATAAAATTCGTTTGTCTTATTCCATATTTGTCTATATTAGACAAGAGATACTTTAATATAATCTGTATATTAAAAATCTATATTCTACCTTTTGATTTAAAAAGAATCAATGTAGCGTATAATTTTAAATAAATCAGTTTTCAATAGTATAATAACAAAAATGAATAATCACGTTGAGATAATCTTGAATCATTGATGATTTATAACTTTAATTATTTATCGAACGATAAAATGTTACAGATGAATGTAAACGTAAATGATAAAAGAGAGAAAAAAATATGTATTAATTGCTATGACAAAAAAACCAAATTTAACACCTAATGAATTATGTAAGTGTTTATATGAACATTATATAATCATACATAATTATCAAACGTTCAATTAACATTTCCTGTAAAATCGAACTATTTGAAAAATATGATTTTCTATATACAGAGTGCATAAGACTGATATAGAATTGTTAAATGAAATGCAAAACATTTTAGATAGGGAAGAATAAAGGAATATCGATTACAGATGATGCATTTGTTATTTTTCTTTGTTGGCTCAATTACTATTCATGAAGAAAGAAGAAAATGAATAACCGTTTAAAGCTATTTTATTCAATATGACGTCGACTAAGCTCTGACGCACGGCGACATAAAAGGACAGTGAAGTAAAGGGAAATTACTCTCGTCGTTTTGCTAACCATCCAGACAATCAATTTTTTTTCAATTACTTTTTATTAACAAAAGACTGTTGATTGATTGTGTATATTTAGACTATTGGACGTAATATATTCATTCATAAGTATGAGCGGTCGAAAAGTAACAAAATAGTTGGACAGTTAGAGCAGAGAGAGAGAGAGAGGGAGAACGCCATCATCTGTTGCTTCTGGACAAAGGCCATTCAACTAGAAGAATTATTGACGGAGTATTAAAACATAGTCACTCTCATTTTATCCTCATCAATATATGTACTATATAAATCTTTGACTTTTTTCACATCAATACATTCATTTAAATCTAGTCATTCTATCCATATATTCATAAGTCTTTTTGACATTTACCTTTTTTTTCCTCTCTTGCCAGGATCGTATGACAACGTGTGCGTGAATATTTAAATGACTTTGTCAGTTTAATCAATGATCTAGGTGTGAAAAAACGCAGTAAAAAGATATAATATCATTGTGTGTGTGTGTGTGTGTGTGTGTGTGTAGTAAAAGAAGGGAATAACTGAGAATTATTTTTGATTGTTATTATTAGAAGGGAAATATGAGCATTGAAATACTTGCCGAACAACAACAATTACGACAAACAACTCCATTCTTTAATGCTGAACTTATTAATAAATATTCCAAATATGTAAAAACAATTGGAAAACGAGTCGTCGAAGGTTTATTTTTGAATATTAAATTTTAAATATGAAAAATTCTATTTTTAGTTGAATTCTGTTGGTATCAGGCAAATCCATGTCAAAGTTTTCGATTACGAATGACGGAAAAACAATTTACTGAAGCACAAAAACATATTTATTCAAAAAGTATTTGTTCTTTTTTTTTAAAGCAAGTTTTTTTTCTAATTCATATTTTAAGAACTATTTAATATGAAATTTGAACAATTTACTGATTTAATTGCTCCTGTATTCGCTAATAATGCAGCGGAAATTAATGATTTTATATTACGTTCAACATTTGATCGTTTATTTGATCAAAAATCAAATGGTACAATTGAACAAGAAGAATTTGAATCACTTTTAAAATTACTTAAAGCATTCAATAAAAATCAAAATGATTTAGAAAAGCATTTTTTTCTATATGAAACTCTTCGACAAACATTTGCACATCAAAATAATCATATTTCATTTAAAGGTAACACAAAAAAAAACATATAATTCATGTTTTACATATTTTCTCTATTAGATTTCAGTGAATTTGTCAAATGTGGTTATGTACGCGAATTATTAATGGGTTAATTATTAATTTAAATTTTAAACAACATTGTAGACTAATCTGTTTTACAAATATATATAAAAATATTCATTAGAAAAATTTAGCATAATATCAAATCGCTATTGTATTGATTATGTGTTTAAAATACTAAGTATCATCATAAAACAATTTTTTGCGTTGTTGAGTTTTAAAGATTTTTAATTATATATTTATTTAAAACACGTGATTTATTCGATTTGACATATAACAAAAAAATATTTAGCGATTAGAAGCTCTATATTGAATTATTTAATTATAGGTAATATTTGATTAATATGTGTCCTAGTCTCTCTTTCTTGACATTTTATTGTACTATAAAAAAGTTTTCTGATTTTTTTATTTATAAAACATAATGCCAATGAATTAAGTGTAGTAGAAATTGATATAAATAAGATTGATAATGAATATAATTGCGATGAAATTTGGATGAATCGATTAATTATATCACAGATAAAATAGGGTGTACCACCAATTCCTAGTATAGTAACAGAAATAAGAATGTTTCGAAATACTTTTAAATTTCTTTTCATCCGTAACATAGCAAAGGTATTTGAATTGATTTGATTTTGATGTACCGATTGTTGAAGAATTAAACCATAGAGAAAAATAATTATACACAGTGGTATACAAAAAATAACGATCATAGCAGAAAATGATGTGGAAAAATGTTTTATTGTTAGAATACACATTCGAGATTCTGATTCATATTGATAAGCGATTGGTGAAATAAACATAAATCCAGGTATTATAAAACTAATCATCCAATTGCTAATAATTAATATCCAATTGATACGAAATGTGAGCAATATTTTATATTTATAAAGTATTGTTATAAAATAACGCGAGATAGCTTGAACAAGAAATGATAAACTTACAGATATACATGCACTGAAATACAAAGCAGCACTTAATTGACAAAAAGTTGTATTTAGACTTATATATTTTGTTAGATCAGTTATCATCATAAATGGAATTTTCATGATTGTAGCAATTGCATAGTAAAGAAGACAAGTACAAGAATTACAAATTAAAAGATTTGTAATTGATCGACATTGAAATTTCCAATTTGAAATTATAATTAAAATAGTTAGGGATGAAAAAATTAGTGTGATTATAGTTAAAAAAATAAATATTATTGATAGAGTTATATAAAAATCTTCTCCGTCTCTCATAATGTTAGAATTTAGAATGAATAATGATGTAGGTAATGATAGAATGCATACTTTAACTTTGTAGAGTCATATTAGAAACTACATGATTTTCTGATGTAGTCCTGCGCATGGAAAGTTGTCATTTTATGTTATGACGTTTTCTATAATGGAAAATACACCTTGCTGATCATGCGACATCTACATTATCATTAAATACAGCTTCCTGAGTGTAACAAAAAGAATGAACGATTTTTTTGTAAATTTTGAATAGGAAAACTTTGTTTAATATTTCGTTAAAAATTTCATCCAATCATTTTCATTCATTAAACTGTGCTGATTCATCTATCTATATATTATCAACGAACGTATTATTTTTATCTTATGTTTTATAAAAATTTCGTGCTTAATAACATATGATAATGCTAACTCGATTTCGTACTATCACGCAGAAATCAATAATACCAATATCACTTCGTCTATTCAATACAAGTACATTGAAACTAAGTGATGGTGATCATACACTTTCAAAAGCATTTGTCAATGCTTCAGATGATATTAAAGCAGGTCTAGCGAAGAGATGGTTGGATACACTAGCTACTGACAGTGGTAAGTATAAACCAATATTTATTGAAAGATGGAAATAGACTAAATTTTCAGTTATCTATTTATCATACTTTCCACATGTAATGTAAACGAAAATATAGAAGTTTATGTGCGACAATATCCGAATTTCTATATTACGCATTTATATTTCTTTGCCCTTTACCTTTTTTTTCTTTCTTTTATACCCTTATAAATGATGTAGCGTATTAAATCATATGATTACAGGTGAAATATCCAGGCTTTGATTGAATATTAGTGTATATTACGATTAATTTACTTTCTAGTTTACATTTCTTGTAGAAGCAATTGTCAAAGGTGAAATGCAATTCAATAAAAAATATAGTGATTGGAGAAAAGATTTGACAAAAATTCAATTGGATACAATTGAAGCAATTAAAGATAAATCAACCCAAGGATATATGCATCAGTTTGATGTTGGTCGACGTGATACACCCGAAGAAAGAAGCAATATTGATATCAGAATAGAAACAGATCCTAAAGAAAAATACTAAGACAACTCATTATTTCCACATCTTATCCGTTAAATATTATATATTGTAAATCTCTAAATACCTGTCTATAAGACTTTTATTCCTTTTACTTATGAACTCTAGAAGATATAGCACATATTCTCAAATCTGTATGTTATTTTATTCTCGCTACAATCATACTTCATTTTTTAAGTGCATATTGTTTTTTTTCTATTAATCTTGAATGTAATTCAAACACAAAACACATATATTTAAGGATAAATAAATTATATTTGATATAATTTTTTTCGTTGTCAACTAATTTCCGCTATGTTTCTAGCATTATTATTATTATAACCCTATATATACATGCAAAGAGAGAAAAAAAATAAGAATTATTTGATAATTTATTAAATTGAACAAGTAAATGTATATTAAGACGATTAGCTGATCACTTTCACCCTCAAATGATAGCCGATGAGATATTAATCAGGTAGGGTGTGAGTGTGGATGAAGCTATTGATATTTTGACTGTGATACTAGAGCTCACGTCCCCTGCATTCATCTCGAGGGTATCGGTGTGAGTTGATTCTTCTTCTTCACACACTTCACACCCACGGCCACCCTCAAGATTTCACACAATAGATAAATGAGTATGATATTCATTGATTGAATTGAAGGTCGAAATAGAACATTCAAAAAAACAAAAACGATTAGTACTTGATCTTCACTTAGTTATAATTTACTAGATATGACTAGTCAATACAGAGAACTTTAACTATGATTTTAATTACAATCATAGTCATATGAAATACGTAGATTCGTGAACAATTACATTTAGATGTGACTGTGGTCCATTGTAGATATTATATTTGTCTCTCAATACTCTCCACACTGAAAAGTTATTTATATTCTTTTGATCATTTTTCTTACTGGAAAAATAAAATTTCAGATTTGTTTCTCAATTTGTAATGATTGAACATTTATGTAGAAAAAGTGAACATAGAGGAAACAGCAGTTATATCAATACTGAATTATTTTATCAATAAAATATCTTCTCAGCAATAATTTCATAACTAACAACGTAGTTATAGCTTAACTATGTAGACATCCAAATAAATGAATGAAAAATAATGAAATATTTTGTTCAAATACATTCTTTTCTCTCAGGAAACTTTGTATTTCCTTCAAAAATGCTGACGTTCAATGTTTTCTTTTTTTGAACTGGAATGAAAAAATGATCTTATTATTTTCATTGACATATGATGTTTTTTTATAAATATTTTATATATAAAGACGATTATATACGGTGAGCATCAGAATCATTTCCTCGAACATTGGAAAAGCATGAAGTTTTTTATGTATTCACTTACATAATGATGTCGATAAGAACTTTCTTTTTTTTGAAATATTTGCAACAAATACAACATTTGAATTTATCAATAAATGAAAATAATGCATCCATTTCCTTTTTCAAAACTAATATGAAATGTTACACATTATTTGCTGTAAATATAAAAAAATGTTCATGATATCGAAGTTTTGTAGGAAAGATGTAAAAATAGAGTTTAATGTTATTCTTGTCAAGAATACATTCAAAATCATGTATTTATGGTGGAAATACAATGCTTCCCGAAGAATAAAATGTTTTTATTATTTTATATTCAGTTGAAAGAGAAAATATATCGACGTTATATGTTGTCAGAAATGTATTGCACATTTGATTTTATTCTTATTTCATACCGCAGATCATTAATCCTCGTCAATTACTATTCAACTATATGAATATCATCGAAATACATAAATAAAATAATTATAATTCAACAAAATCAACTGAAGTCATAGTTTTATTATCCTTTGATATTGTTCCTCATGATGAATAATTATTTCTTTTATGTATTTTAGAAATACGAAATATTGTAAAGAAAACAATGAGTTAGAAGTGATTGATAAATAACATACAAAAAATATTCTATATTGGGATGTACAAAAAAAAAAGAAAAAAAACATTATACTGAGACTGATATATTGTGAATGAATAATTGTAAAATGTTGAATATTTTGTTGAAACCAACGACATTTTCTACTATCAAATTCAAATAAACATTCAGAGATTTATTTTTGTAAAACAAAAACTCTGTAGAATCTAAAATTAAACTGAATATTATGCAAATTTACTCTTTCTCTTAATTATGTGAATTTCCGTATATTCAACTCAAGAATACAATATATTTTATCAAACAAAAGATTTGTAATGAAAAGAGGGTGTGGGTGTGGATAGAGCATAATGTACAACGACACCCACACCCGCTATCCAGTTGAAGAACGGAAAGATGATCATAAATAGTAAACGTTTATTTCAAAATAAAACCAAAGAAAAAAAGTGAGTGTGAAAGGATGTGTGATTAGCCTTTTCGTTATAGACCAAATCGCTTCGGAACATAATAGTGTAATATATATTTGTATATCAGCAATTAATTTTGTAATAGTAGTAATGAAAAGTAAATAAAAAGAAAAGAACAAGAAAATAATGTGTTTTTAAAATGATTAAAAAGTTCGCAGAGCGTACTAAAGTTTCTCTAAATATACATGAATAATTTAGCCGAAAACTTTCAGTTTTTCAAGAGAATATTTTACTTAGTAATCATATTTCATTTTTAAAGATTACACTACTCTTTCTGAGTGTTTTTTCTGTCACTTTTTATAAGATTAATTGCTGATATATAAATATATTTTGTTATCAAATATAATAACTTGTCGATAACCATTTGCCTGTCCAGCAATGTGTTTTACGATGAGAAAACATATCACTAAGAGAAGGAAGTGCAGTAAAGAAAACTGTGATCTCACGCTTAGAAAAAGAAGAAAAAAATACGATCAGTATGAAAAAGTCAGTTCCATTGATGAGTATTAATATTTACGAAATTTTGAAATTCGACTTCCACTATTGTCAGAGACATATAAATTAAGTTGGGAGTCTAATTTGACATCATATGGCGCACTGATAGTAGTTACAGAAGATCCACTAGCACCACTTCCTGCAATAGTAATACCTGTTGTAGTGCCATTACAAATTAGTTGAACTCGACTATTTGATCGATCAGCCACGTATAAATTATTCCATTGATCTAGTGTTATTCCCATTGGTGACTTTAATTGTGTTGCTGTATTTCCATAAGCTCCGGCAACACCTGCTACGACTGTACCATTTAAATCACCAATATGCCATTTCATTACTGTAGAAGTCGATGTAGCGGAGTTGGCAATATATAAATCTTGATTTGCTTCATCATAATACAGACCAGCGGGGTACGCCAGTTTGTTCGTTGTATTACCTAGTGACGAAAATGAAAAGAAAGAGCTTTCCATCTTAGATCTAGCGATTTCGAGATGGCACATTTACAAGTTTAATACTAAATAACCGTCAAGCCTATTTGTTAAACGATCTATCAAACAAATATACGAAGTTTTTAAGATTAGTATGAGATCCATCATTAGCTTGATTCAAGAATTTTTTTACAGGTTCTTTTTGAAAATCTAAGATAAATTTAGCTTAGACGCAGAAAAATCTAATGTTGTATGGCGTTCCTCTGTTTTTAACGCTCAATTTTGTAAACAATAAATACTTTTTTGATTCGATAGGTCACGTGACAATAAGAATTTAGAAGCATGGTTCTAGATGTATGTATTCCGTATATAGCATATTCTTACAAAAGTCTTGTCTATTTTCTTTTATTTTATAATCTTTGTGTTCCTTATTGAAGATATCATTTAGGTAAACGGAAAACTATTGAAATGAACTATTGCCAGATCTTAAATGCTTTATTTCGAACTTATCAAAATTTTCGCTATTTTATCAGCGTCTTCAACTGAAAGATACCCATTTTTCTTGTTTTCACAACATATTTTTTCATCGAACATCAACATTAGTTGTCCACTCTTCTGCTTACCTGCGGAATTCGAAATGCCAGCAACAATAATTCCAGCCGTTGCACCTGGAGCCCATTTCGTTACACGATGCAGTTGATATTCTGCAACAAATATATTTAAACTTGAGTCTACCCATATACCATATGGACTATATACTTGATTTAGTGTGGAACCAAAAGTTCCATCTCCAGCCACCATCAGACCACTGGAAGCACCACTTGCCCAACGCATAACACGATTATTGAAAGCATCAGCCACATAAAGGTTTTGACTTGAATCGACAAATAAATAACGCACGCCCGTAGAAAATAAATTCGAGAATGAGGAGTTTCCGCTTATATTAGTGCTGCCGGCTGCAATAATACCACCAGGAGCATTAGTAGTAATACTAAGAGATTGCATTATAACGCGATCGTTGCCACTATCACCAATATATAGGTTATTATTTGAGTCTATATATAAGCCAGTTGGCATAGATGTTTGATTCAAACTACCAGTTATTAAACCAGATGATGAACCAGTACCTACAAGCCTCAATTTATATTTATTCTCAATTTAATTTGTACATAAATAAAATTTTCGATGTTCTCATGCATCTTATAGGACAAATGTATCGTATCAGTCGATAAAAATTTACCATAAGTATATTAGAACTAATATTGTATTTGATAGAGAAAAGAATTTATACGACATATAGTTTTCTTCGCTGTTAGAATCAATGACAATTTCAACGATCTTTTGTCCTTTTTCTATTAGTAAGAAATACTGTCTCGATATAATAATATTGTTTCTATGGGTATTTTTATTTTAATTCCAGAGATGTATACTTATAATGGATTCTTCAACAATAGTCTGCCATATATCACATAAATTTTGAACTCTTTAAATAAAATTACTTTCAACATGTAATTTGAGGTTTGCAATTTAATTTCCTCTAGTATTGAGCAACAAGAATTAAGAAAGTCTTTTGATACGAGCAATGTTTATCCTATGTTGATAGGAAAAGTGCAATATAGCGTGAAACTGCTTCTCGATTTTGATAAAAAAATCAATTCTGCGTCGAATAAATGCAAGATTGGTTCTGATATAGTGTGCGATAGTAAATACGTTTTATAGGTTTCAGAAAGTCCTTTAGATCTTTCTTCTTACCTGATATATTTTATAGTTTTTATAAGAATCTTCTCAAGTTTATATATGGAGGATTTATATCTTTGATATTTGCAACATACTCTAAAATAGATATATCGATGCTATATATACGTCACCAAGATAGCAAGATATTTAGATAGAATAACTAAGGACATTCAAGTCAATATATATTAATTAAATAAAAGAGAAACACCCATATTCCTGATAAGCTGTACGTTTTTGATTACATCAGAACGTAATTACTTGAATCGAAACAAGACATTACACATAATTTATAGGCAAACATGATGTTGGAAATCTAGTATATATGTTTTATACGATGTCTCAGAGAAAGTCGAATAATTTTATTTCTTGTGAATTAATAAGGAAATATCATTCTTACCCCAATATTGAGTACGAGTTGCATTCCAATAGATTCCACTCAAACCTAAAAATGAATTGCAAAAAAGTCAAATTATTTTTAAATATGCATACGTACAAGGATTAACCAATGCATGCGTAGTAGCTAAACAAAAACAAAAGAATAGATTGAGTTTATGAGTACTATTTAGAAAGAGAAAATCTTAGAAGTATTTGTTGACAAGTCGATTTTCGAATTCAGAGGGTGGGTATGGGTGTGAGTGTGTAGTGGCGGACTAAGAAGACATCTACACTCATTCACATCCTCACCCATTACAGCTATCATGAAAAGATTCTTCTCACTCTAATACCGATCCAAATATTACCTCACAGACACCGTACACAGTCAATATCAATTCTTACATCATGACTAGCATCAAATACGGTCAAAGAAATAGGTTAGTCGTCAACGACAGATGGATGCCACTAAAGAATAGCACTCAAGTATCCATAAGTATTCGTAAAAGATAGCTCTAGAGAATATATGATTATATCTGAAAAAAATTACTTGCTGATTCTTACAAGTGATTACAACTATATGACTGTTTGAATCCTGCGATCCCGGCACAGGAAACAAACATACTCGAAATTTATGGCATGTTCTCGAGTTCGATACATCCGTAGTTCTTACCGACGAAAGATCTCCTATTTACTCTTATTAATAAAGTAATTTTCAGTCTTTTTACTTGCTGTTGTTGTCGGTGCTGTCGTTGTTGTCGGTGCTGTCGTTGTTGCAGGTGTTGTCGTTGTTGTCGGTGCTGTCGTTGTTGCAGGTGTTGTCGTTGTTGTCGATGTTGTCGGTGCTGTCGGTGCTGTCGATGTTGTCGAAGCTGTCGATGCGGTTGATGCTGTTGATGTTGTCGAGGCTGTTGAGGGTGTTGATGCTGTTGATGCTGTTGAGGCTGTTGATGCGGTTGATGCTGTTGAGGCTGTTGATGCAGTCGATACGGTTGATGCTAAGAAATATAATGTTGGAAAAATGAACTTTTAAGGCAATCTTTATGGAATTAAACTATAAATGACACTAAAACTGGTGTGGGTGTGGGTGTGGGTATGGGTGTGAATGTGGCTGCGGGTGTGAGAGTTGTGCTCATTGCACTCACACCCATCCTACTTTGATCTGAAATATTTCTGACTTCATATTGATGGTACGTCTATTCTAAAATCTCAGAAACTTAACGAGATTTGTTTACGTGTACGAGTAGAACCACTTCTCATATGTATGGCAGAATTACTTGAAGAGTATAATGTTTTCTCGCAATTTGCCTATTCTCTTGATATTACATTTTTTACGGTTCTTATAGTGATCTTCATAGTGAAAATCATCGATTTAATATGTCTAGATATTATTCTAAAATGGTTTTCCAAAACATGTTTCCTTGAAACTTTTATATGGAATATAGAAGCAGAAAACTCGAATTTTATTTCAGAATAATCGACTGCATTGGGCTAAGATGTAAGTAATATCGATGATTGAAAACCTGGGCCGACTCTTTCTCTGCTCGAAACTATCCTAAGCAATCTAACACACTTTCTTTTCTAAGCGGATCGTAAGTCCATATGTTCAAGTTTCTTTTCGATCAGAAAATAGGAAGTATTTCTTTTATACATGAATTTTCCTCATAACGAAACTTCACGTGATTTTCTGCATTTTAAAAGTAAAGATATGATTTTTGAATATATGAGTCTCTGTTTGTGATATATTATAGCTATTATTTCTGTTACTCACTGTTTACTGAGGTTGATGTAGTTTTTTTTTGCGACAATGCAATCGGTACGGCAATACTTGCAGCAACAATGCATATTCCAACAATGATTGCCGCGATGGTTCCCAGGATAATCCAAGCGAATCTTCGTGGTTTCCTTCGTCTGTCCGAAAACAAACTGTGTGAGATAAAGATGCTGTGAGAAATATTAAATACGAACCTTTTCGCTCGCTCCGACCGAATCGATTGAATCGTATCCGTATTTATTGTGATTTGAGACGCTCGCGCCGTGCTCTAAACAGCATAAACATGCATATATAGGAGAAATTACCAGGATTTATTTCCTCTAAAGAATTTATTCATGGTGATAATACACCAGTACACTCAGTTTGACTTCTATTTTTTCGTAAAGCTATATGATGAGTCACAAAATGTTTAAGAATGTATAGAAAAATTCGAATAATTCAAGAGTACGGTAAATTTTGGTAGTTGCTGATCAGTTTATATTTGTTGATATCTTCTCTAAGAAAAAGTCAATTCTGATAGTGATTAGTTATTTTTGTTTGGTTTGAAAAGCGTAGTGTTAAATCTTTAGCGTTTTGTCAAATAAAAAGAAAGTTTCAAGAGAAATAAGAACTATTTTACTTTTCTTGATTGAGTTTCTGAGGCCATGGTTGAGTTCAGCTCGTCGAAGTCCCATGTACTACGTCTCTATATAACATAAATCAGTTCTAATTTGCGTCCATAATATAAAAGACTCTACCTACACTTATGATTTTAGATTGAGCCATATTTTGTTAAACAATTTGATTTACTGGTGTTAATTGTATATAGCAGCAAAATATTTAATGAATGCTGTTACACAAGAAAAGCATCGATTTTAAATAGAGATGAAATATTCTTTTTTTTCTCTTCTTTTTCTTTTTCTTTTTCTTAAGTTACCTGCATTGTTTGATCGTTCACAATAGCAACACTGTTTTTTTTTAACTACTTTTTTATTTTCAATATTCTCGAGTGCACTTAAGTGAAATATCCCATATTTTGGTTGTATAAAATGAATTCACTGTTTTTGTCCTTAAATTTCATCTGAAAAAAACCCAGTAAATGATTGTGTGAATAATGCAAACGTGACAATTGCGCTTGCCACCGCCAAAGAACACCTGCCTGTTTTTTAGTAACGACGGCAACATTAGATTGATGGATTGTTATTCATCCCTATTAAGTTCGAAGTTAAGATGAGAATAGTTACTATAAACTGGATTTCATCTATATTTAAAAAAACCATTCCTGTAGTTGTGACGATTTCAGACCCACTATAGAGCTGTATAAGATTTCTTATATATGTATAATTTTATTCTTCAAAAGAGATCACCTGCTTAGTAAATATTCCTCGCGCCTTATATAGCACTCGGAACATTTGGTAGCCTAATACAGAGAAGGTAAAGTACCGAAAGTAAGGACAAATATGAAGGGTATGGGTGTGGGTGAGAGTGTAGATGAAAATAGTGGTAGCGGTGCCATTCAGTGAAAGGCTCTTCAGCGAAAATTTTTAGCGAAATAAAAAGAGCGAAAGACAATTCAACGAAATGGTTTTTCTTGATGATGGTATCGACAAAAAGTGAGGATGAAGGCGAAAGATGTTTCGCAGTTGTGACTTTTGTACATTTTTTTCGCTAAAAATCCGTTCGCTGATATGGCTTTCGCTCAACGGACACTATACCCACACTCTCAATCACCTACCCATACCTTAAAATGCCCTTCTGAATTTACCTCGACCCTAAATTATTCGACATCCCAGTCAAATTGGAGATTGAAAAAGAAAAACTCATATTGTATACCTTCTTTTATAATGAAAAACATACAGTTGGAAATTTTCACTGGTAACTTGATATCTCATCGTCAAAAAACCTCTTATCACTCATCAACAAAAACATGCAGTCATTTACATTCTTCAAGTGGTAATAAAGCAAAAGACAAGAAACTCGATAATACGAACAGTAAACGTTCCGAATGAGAATGAATGAGAAAAGGTTTCCCTTGGCAGTAGTGAAACCCTGAAATATTCTTTACAGTACTGCTGAACCTGAAAATGTGTAATAACGGTTAGTGTCGAGAGATAAAAGGTTCTGATAGTGCTGAATCAAATTTGATTATTTTGGTTTTGCTGAATTTCTCAGAATTTTGTGAAATAGATGTGCTTGCCTGCAGATTATGTCTCTGCAGTCATTTGATATATATAATGAGATTTAGAAATCAAATGTAATTCCTACATCACTAGCTGATAGAAAATATATTGTATGTATTTGAGCTACAATATAATGATTTGCGTTTTACTGTAATAGACTTATCGGAATGTGAATTTAGCGTGTTTCGGTGTATGTGTAAGTAGTCGAACGGCTAGTTATATTCCAAGTACAGGAAATAAAGTCTTATATTCTGTATGAAATATTCTAAAACAGAGATATATTTAGAGGTGACTACTTGAGGGTGGGTGTGCGTAAAAATGAGCTTGGTGGGTGGGACAGGATCGATGTGGGTGGAATTGGGTGTGGGTGGAAATGAGCTGGGTGGGTGGACTATGGTGGCGGTTGGTGGACTAGGATGGAGGTGTATGAAATAAGAAGAATGTGGAAAATTCTTTGTACCTTGGCGCATGCAAAAAAAGACTTCTGCTCTTCACAGTCGACGATGAAGTGAGTCGAGACAACAAACGTTACTTTTTAAATTTTTTATGGGTTTTTTACCGATCATTTTTGTTGTTGTTGCTTTTCGGAGAAAAGTTTCTTACATCTTTCTTCATTCAACATTATGATTGCGACGCTTTTTTTTGACGTTATTAATGTATACGAACATGGTAATAGTTTAAATATCTTGAAGAATTCCGTTAGATTAAAATATGAAAAAAACATTTAGTTTCAGTCTTGATTAATTTTCAATTCACACACTTAAAGATGATGCATAGTTTCAAATAAATACAACAAACAAAGTTGCTTTTTTTAAATTCATAAAACAACTAAAAGGGGTAGGGGTGGGTGCGGGTGAAGGTGTGGGTGAGGGTGGGTGGGTGTGGATGTGGATGTGAGGGAGACAAATAAGTTACACCCACACCCACTTTTAAATGCTTCTGTATATTAATAAAAGTTATTTCAGACTGTTTTAGAACGAAAAAAAAAA